AATGGAAAGTGCTGCTATTTCATAAACAAGGCAGTGAAATCAGAATTGCATGTGGAAAAATACACACCTGGTGAAATGCTAATGCTGGAAATACTGTTCCTTGTCATTGACTTTCATAGGTTAAACTGCATCAAGTTCCTGAGAAGAGCAAAAGTTCTCAAGTTTAAATTCCTGTTATAAGCCAGTAAAGACTTACAAGCGCCCAACATACATTTGCATATGGTAGGTACTCAGTAACTGTCTTAGGAAGACAAATCTTTCTGAAGAGCCAGCACACTTTTCCTTCCAATAAAATCATTGAACATTTAAAAGTGGACTATGTCAGCATGACTGTAATTGTGTGCTCACATTGGACAGCGATTCCAACTCACAGAGAGTACTTACTTAAAGATTATTGCTTTTCCTTCTTCACATTACACCAGAGATTTCACTTTGAGGATCTAATTTTGGTGAGCACTTTGAGGGTAATTTCAGTGAATTCCAATGAAAAATAAAATAAAATAGTTCTCAAAATCTACCACTAAGAAAACAAGCAAAAAAAAGAAAACAAGCAATTCAATTTAGAATAAGGGGGGAGAGGGGACCATCCATACCAAAGAATAGTTTATAGTTAGTGGCCACTGAGCTGATTCTGACTCATGACCACTGCGTGTGGAATACTGCTCGATACTAAAAATTAATAACATTGCTACAACAACAAGTTGGAAGTACTTGCTTACATTGGGTTTAATCATTCATTTTTATCTATTTTCCTAAGCGAGAACTACAGATGAATGGTTTTACCATTTTTCTAATTATATGTAAAAACGTAATGCTATCATCTCTCCCTGAGCTCTGCTTTAGTTTGTCCTACAAGTATTTTATGGGGTGTGCTTTCATTTCATCAAATTCAAGATATGTTCCAATTCCTTTTTACTTTTCTTATGATCCATGAGTTATTTAGGAGTATGTTTGTTTAATTTCCAAATATTTAAATTTTTTTCCAGCTGTCTTCCTATATACTTGACTTCTAATCTAATTCCATGTCTGACCTGATACACATGGGATTGCTATGAGTCAGGATTAACTCCGTGGCAATTGATAACAATTTTGATCATAGAAGATACTACAAATTGTTTTAATCATTTAAAAAGTTTTTAGATTTATTTTGAACCCCATAGAACAGTGCGCTTTGGCAAGAGCCTCACAAGCACTTGAAAAAGTGTTTCTCTGGGTCAAGTAAATGTTCTATAGGTGGCAGTTAAGCCTAGTTGGTAACAACTATAGTTCAAATGCTCTATATTGTTATTAATGTTCTGCTTTGTTACATCCATTATTGATAAAGAAGTGTTGAAATCTAACTAGAGCTGAAAAATTGTTTGTTTCTCCTTTCAGCTTTGCTAGTTTCTGCTTCATTTATCTCCAAGCTCTGTTATTAGATGCATACACATTTAAAATGGTTGGGTGTCTTGATGGATGGACCCATTTATTATCTGAAATACCCCTGTTTAACTCTGGTAATATTACTAACCTTGAAGTTTAATTTATCTGATAGAGAGACATATATACATATATATGACAGATTTTAAGAATATACAGAAGTTATATATGTATGTATGCATACACCCCTTTTCCCACACTCACACACACTTCTGCACTGACACATTGTGCACACCCGAGCAGTAGCAGCAATAAAACTCATCTGCACTCTCTAAATAGGCCTTTCCAAAGCACAAGCCATGCAGACAGCCTCTCGGCTCAAGTTTCTCTTTCCTGTCTTCTTTCCTACTCTCTCTACTCCTCAGGGGGAGAAAAAGGAAAATAAAAAGGTTTATTCTACTTATAGTTGAAGCTGCTTTTTGCCTCTAATACATCATGGGTGACAACCAAGGAATGGGGGAAAATGTCAGAGATTCTGACCTCAGAGCAAAACGTTTTTCTCTAGAGAAGCTACAAAGCCAACATTACGAAAATCATATTTCAGCTGTTTGAATATCCCTAAGTGTCTGGTTCATAATTTTTTCTAAAGGTTACAATTTGAAATACTTGAATCCTTGCTTTTATCTGTCAAACTATGAAGCAATCAAGCTTGTTTTCAATACTATAATTTTGGTAAAGTTATTGTTCTTATTATAATTAGGACATATGCTAATCCAGTCTCTGTCAAATGAAGAATTCTTATTCCGCTCAATTTTTAAGTGGCTAAGTCATATGAGTATATGGTAAATTGCCTAGTGAGTTCATGGAGAAAATGACAACTACTGGTAGTGTATCTTGCAACTGGGAAAAACTAATTCAAGCATTCTCCCAGGATCCCATATCCACTACAGTATTGTCCTGTTGCTTGATTTAGATCTGTGAAGTCTATAAGGCAGGCAGAAAAACTATGATAGGATATGTCTCTCCAAATAATTGGAAGTCCTTGGATAAGACCTTATACTTAATAGGTATTCATTAACACATCCATCCAAAGGTATTAAACAGGCTAATATTCAGCCTGGGAATAAGATAACACAGATAAATAACACACCTGGTTTTTGTTTCTCAGGGGTTTGTGGCTCTGCTCAGATTTTTCTCTTTCTCTAGGTTGCCCTTTTGCATATTCCTAGACTTCAATCAACCCGATGGCCCCAAAGCTAACTAAATATTTGCTCAATGAATTCTTTTGTGACCTGCTAAATAGATATGACCATTTCCTTTTTTGTTGTTCAACATCCTTGACCCCTAACAACAACCTTGTACATGTAATGATAACAAATGATTGCATAACTTTTTGTCTTCTTCATTGGACAGTCACTTGACACAGAGTTTGTACTTCTCATTATTGAAACATTGGGGCTAATTCACTACTGAATACATCGAATACATCGCTATTTGCTTAAGATATATATATATATATTGAATAAATGACATTACAGGCATGTTTTTCTAATGAACAAAAGAGCTCAGCAAAAATAACTACTATAAGAATAGAGGTGTTTGCAATGAACAGTAGGGGAAAGGTGAGAGTCTCAGTAGTAAGATGTTGGGGACTCATAATAACAAAAACTGATGGTAATGAAGATAGCCCACATTAGGCAGCAGTCTATTACTATGAATAGACGACAAGAGACAGCAACAAGATGAGTCACGGTCCCTGACTCATCCTATTAGCAGGATCTGTTCTCGTATAAAATCTCCGTCCTTCGGTACGTGTGAAGCCAGGAAAAACTTGTTAAAAACAAGTACCCCCTACAATTAGTAGCGGATTCACTAATTAACAACTTGAAAGGGATAAAATGGCATTTAAACCCTTAGGGAATGATGGGGAAAGGTCTTTGGCGATAGAGAAGCTCTCATTGAAGATCACGTGACCACTTGGCTCCTTATGTCCTTTGTTCCTCGTTCACCACCCATTACCCGTCAACCTCCTCGCTGAGAACCACTCAGGCTCCCCAAATTAATGAACAACCTGGTATCATCTACACAAGCAACAATGAATAGGGTTAAAGAAAACTGCTCTTTGGGAGTTTAGGCAAATTTTGGAAGCAACAGGTCTCTCAAGGAGGGAAATGTGAATAATGTGAATCTACTCATGTTGCCGCTAGAACCTGAAGGGTGATAACACTTACCTTAGAGCAAAATTTTCAAGAAAATGGTAAAAGTAAATACACGTGTACTGAAATTTTAATGAGCAATTTCAAAACATCCCCAAAGTCTCTGCAGGCCCTTCAAGGGAATTATACGGCTCAGGTTGAGACAGCCCTTTTAGAAAGGTATCAGGTACCGGCAGTCAGAGAGCCAGGGATCAGCGATGAAGGTGATCCACAGGGAGAGCCAAGGATGAAGACGACTTTGAAAGAGGACCTAAGAAAACCTCGGCCTGCAGCTTTGATGTTTCCACGGAGAAAACCGTAGAAAGTTACAAGCCACCTGACAAACGTCTCGGCCCTCTGCCTGTGGTTTGGAAAAGGAGATGGGCCTGGAGAGAAGGAGCATAGAACGACTTGCAGATGGACTAAGTCGTGTGTGCCAGGGATGTTTCGATACCTGTGTCTCTTAGTATCTTCCAGCTCTGCCTCCAAGTGGAAGAAAATTCTGCTGGAAACATCTATACAATAAAATATGCTCACAGTATTTCCCACTGAGTTAAGAATAGAAGAAAATGGAGCATGATTATGCTTATTTTGATAAACAAGGAGCTGACAAACTGAGGTTTGCATCATCCACTGGGAGAATTTCATTAAATGGTATTTAGCTTAGATTCTAGAATAAGCACAATCAATATCTCAGGCAACTACTCCTGTGCTGCTGTGACCACTATATATAAATTAAAATGTAAAATGTTTCCATAGGTTAACAAGAAACAGTTTTTATAAAAAGTGCATGCGGTTGAACGTGCAGTTATGGAGAAAAACCACACTATGCTCTCTCCCTGCTTGGAGGCTCTAGAAAGCAAAAGAAACGTTTGCGTTCATTGCACAGAAGAGAGGAAGACACACACGGACGTATCACGGGAGGAGCCAATGTGGCCGGATAGTGAAAGAGGAGCTCTGACATCCTCAAGGCAGGCGAACCTTTCATTTTTGAATCAACAAGAATGAAAACTTTTTATGAAATGACGACTACAGGGCACACGAGTTAGCTCCTGACAATGAAATCTGCATCTGAAGCCATTGTTTCTAAGACTCTTGCCACCTCTATCCCCACTGTCTTTCCTCCACATACCCTTATCAGAGTAGGTCAAGGGTGTGACTGACAGGAGTGCGGTCAAGTGGGGACCAGATGAGCTTTCTAACAGAAATCCTCAGGCACAGTCACAAGTAGTTTTGCTCCAGCTTGGAATTATTCTTGACGTTGGTCACAAAATTTACAAGAGCAGAAACCTTGATGTTTGCCTGTGCCTAGAACATGAGAAATAAAAGTATTTCTAATTTCTGCCATTGGTTAGAGACAATGTTGCTTTTTATGCAATGTGGTGTGTTTATGACTGGAAACACGTTACACTGAGTTAAGCTCTCTTGGGGGAAACATTCTATGTGTTAAGAAATATTTTTGCCCAGAGTTCTCCGTAGGGCATCCTTGACCTCCTTGTTCCTCAGACTGTAAGCAATAGGGTTCAGCAGGGGAGTGATGATGATGTAAGTCACAGAGAGAAGAAGGTCTTTTTCAACAGAGTTTTCTGACTTGGGCTTGAGGCAGGCAATGGAGGCACAGCCGTAGTGGACAATGACCACAGGGAGGAGGGAGGCATAGGTGGTAAAAGTCTTCTGGCCCTCAGCTGAGGCAATCTTGAGGATGGAGGAGATAATGAGGACATAAGAGATGAAGTTCAGGATCACAGGCACAAAAATCACAAGTGAACTTACACCATAATTGATTATCTCATTGAGAGTAGTATCAATACAGGAAAGTTTCATGACAGGGTAAATGTCGCAGAAAAAGTGTTCTACCACTGTGCCACAGAACAGCAAATTGAACATAGATGTTACATGAAGAACTGTCATGAGCAGACCAGTGCCAAAATAATCCCTTGTTCATGATGACTGTATACCTAAAGGGCTTGCAGATGGCCACATAGTGGTCATAACCCATTGCTGTGAGCAGGAAGCAATTGTCAGTGGCCAAGATGACAAAAAAAGAACATCTGGGTTGCACAGCCTGCCAACAAGATGGGCTGTTCATGAAAAATGAGACTGGAAAGCATTCGTGGGACAATGACCAGGGTGTATATAGTCTCTGAACTGGCCAGCATGTTCAAGTAGAAGTACATGGGAGTGTGGAGATGATGGCCAAGGCGGATAATTGTCACTGTAATGATGTTACTAGTCAGAGTTAAAATGTAAATTGTTAGGAAAACCACAAAGAGGGTGATCTGGTGCTTTCCAAAACTGGAGAATCCCAGGAAGATGAATTCTGTCACTTCTGTGAAGTTCTTTCTCTGCATTCTGTTATGCCCGTAAGCAATAAAGATATTCATTAAGACAAAAAATTCCCACCTACAGTCAGACTTTACAATTAGGGACAATAAACTGATAAAGTAAGCATAATTCCCTTTTAGGCCAGTGAGTTCATGCTTAGATGCCTTCCATATGAAGAGAGAAAAATACTGGAACATGCAAGTATTATTGCTGTAGAACAAACTATCTACTGTTCATAAAGGATTCTCAGCACCTGCTTGCCTCCCACACTTAATAGGAAGGAGAAATGAGCAACAAAGAGAAGGGAATGCTCTGTGACCCAACCAATGATATTCTCTGCTTAACCCAAACCATTAACCCAGGGGACTACTGGTAAGGTCTCCATCAAGGAATCCCTAGAGATGAGACTTTGGGGTTGGGGGGAGACAGAGCACTGTAACGTACTCAAGGAAGACCAACTTCTAGATGTTGTCGTCGGATTCAGCAACAAGGGGTTTACTTCTGACTCTCAAGCCTGATTTCAGGAGGTAAGATGGTTGAATACGTGCCTCAGAAGGGTATATTGGGGAGTTAGGTGGGTGTGTTTTCTTGAAGTCTGGGTAGTTTTCAGGTTAATGTGCTAAAGATCAGAATCATTTCATTTCAGATATATTTTTCTACTTTCACAACAAAGTTTGCCTTATTATTTGAAACCAGAAAAATGACAAATCTGTTTTAACAGAGTTGTTTTTTGTTTTCCCTCCTCCCTGGTGGCATACATTACTCTTCAGGCTTCTAAAAAAAAGACCAGCAGGTTGAAACCACCAGCTGCTCCTCAGGAGGAAGATGAGGCTTTCTACTGCTGTAAAGATTCACAGTCTCGGAAACCCAGATCCACCCTGCCCCTCTAAGGTAGCTATGAGTTAGAGGTAATGAGCTGCCAGTGGGTGAGAGACCTTCAGAGCAGAACAACTATAGAACACCTTTTGCCAAGACCACCTCACTCAAAACCCACCACGCTTTGATGGTTGCTGTAGTTGTAATTGTTGCTGCTGATTCCAGCAGTCTTGTTGAAAAGTAAAATCTGAAAAAGAGGTGCCAGGAAGACCACATTGTGTACTCTCCACTGTATCAGAACGGCAGGGTAATTTGAGTTAAGGACAAGAGCATTTAGGTGCCAGCGTTGAGGAAGGACTGCTCCCCTGGCTTGGACTGGCCAATCTATTTTGTGAAATCTGGGGAGCACAGGATTTGCTGTGATGACAGAAAGCAGAGCACACTGGGCCCCGGTGTGCGGCAGTGAGCATGCTAAGCCTCTGTGGAGAGCACACAGATGACCCAACGGTTCTCCTGTTCATTTCAGGATTACTGGGATAGATGCTCTTTCTCGTCTACCTTCCATAATTCTTTGTAAAATCGTTTCTGCCACGCTCAATCCCATGAAACTATTCTCTCAATGGCACCAAAGAAGTGTTCATGGCTTTGCTTTGGCCCCACTTTCTCTTCCTTCGCTGCCTCACATAACACTCAGATTCCTGCCTGTGGAAATATTCTCTGACCTTGGTTTCCTTTCTCCCAACAGCCGTTGAGTTGCTTCCCATGAATCAGCTCAGGCCACCTATGTGTGCCATTCTCTGGTCAACCACTCGATCCTGTTTTTTCCCTGTGCACTCTCCTCTTCAATATTCTCTGTCAAATGTCCTTAAAACTCTATTTCTGTTGCCAATCTCTTTCCCAAGTCTCCAACTCTTTCTGGACTTTTCTACTTCTGAGTCTTACAATCATATATATATAGACACAAACTTACTTCTGACCCTTCTTGACTTCTGATAAAATTCTCCCCCTGAATTGTCAGTCCTGCAATGGCCCCATTATTCCAGTCAGTTCTGGAGCCTACGATACTTGGATATCACGATTAATGAGATTTTTTCTTCAATTATGTCTCGTATCTGTCATATTGTAGGTTTCACCATATCCTACTTAATATTAAAGTAACAAATCTTCTAGCCAGTTTAATCAATCTCATTCTCATTCTAAAGTTTCTACAAAAATCTGGAGAATCAAGAAGATTCAAAGCACTTTTGTGAGAGAAATACTGCACTGAATGAAGTAAGGAGATGGTGTGATATTGGCATAAGAAGGGACATAGAAATCAATGAAAGAAATTGGGAAATTGAAAAATGAGCCACACATTGTAAAGCTAGTTTATTTATAATAAAATATCAACGTATCTTAACGATAACCTTTTTAACAAATATTGAATATGTGGTTAGCCACATGAAAAAAAAAATCAAACCTTACCTTATGCCATACACCAAAAGAAACAAAATGAATCAGGTAAAAGCTGAAACTTTAAAAATTGTAGACAAAATAGGAGAGAAAATCTCCCTAACGTTTGAAGAAGGAAAGAGGTATTAGGCACAAAGCAAAAGGCATCAATCATAAGAGCGAAATTGCAAATGGGACTTTATCAAAACGGAAGGCTTCTCATCTTCAAAAGACATTGTGGAAAGACAAAAGGGCCATAGACAGGGAGGTAACATTCATAATGTGATATTTACCACTGTGTCCCAAACACATACAGAACTTCAACAACTCAGCAATGAGAAGGCAGCTTTTCAAACGTGAAAAAAAATATTTGAATATATACTTTACAAAAAAATACAGATACTCACCAAGCACATGAAAGGGTGTCCAACCATGCTAGTCATCAGAATCGTGTGAAACAAAAGCACAATGAGATACCGCTGCACACCCACACGCATGGCTGAAATTAACAAGCCTAGCAACACCTCATGTTGGCAAGGGAGTGAATAATTGAACCTCTTAAGTATTGCTTGTGGGAATGCAAAGTAGCATAGCCAATTTGGAGAAGTACTTGGCAGGTTTATAGAAAAATAATTATATATTTATCTTGTGACTCAGTATTTTTCCTAGGTATTTATCCAAGAAAAATGAAAGCCCGAGCACACACAGAGAAATGAACATGACTGTTCCTTGCAACTTTATTCCTAAAGGTAAAATATGGGGACAACCAAATCCAAATTGGAGTGCAAGTCATGCAATGGAATGAATGCTGCTCAGCAGTAATAGGAACAAATTATGAATACAAAGACTGTGGCTGATCTCAAACGCATTATGCTGAATGGAGAAGTGAGACCCCAAAGCATTTGTGAAACTAGGATATACGACCATAGTCTGACAGAGAGCAGATTAGTGGTTGCCATAATTCTTAGGAAATTGATTTTAAAAGAACACAGCAAAAATTGTTGGCTTAAAGGAAACATCTTTGTAGTGAAGGTTACATAGGTTTACAATTTAGTCAAAACTTATCAAATGTATACTTAAAATTGATGCATTTAATTGTATTATTCATATTGTATTTTCATACTATATGCTGTTATACTACATGGTATTATGTCATACTGTGTCATATACATCCAAGCTGATTAAAACAAATGCTCATTTGGCCATGAATAAAAATTTATTATTGCAAATCTATCCCTAGAAGACCCCACCATTTTTTATGTACATTTGGAAGTAATTTGGGAAATCTAGAACCTGATCTGTCTACGAAAATATCTCCAGTCTTGGACAAATCATTTGTCTCTGTGTCTCCATGAGTTCAAATACAAAATGAGTAACTTGAACCCTAGTTCAGGTCAATGAGTTACAACATACTGATTATATTATTTCTTTGATCTGGTAATGACATCTTGGCTGGGCTATTAAGACCTTGCTCTATTCTCAAAGAACCACGCTGGCATCTTTACAGTGTAGCCACACCCACCTCCGTAGGGCCAAGGAACATTCTAAAACTTGTCAAATCTGTCCATGTTTATATATTGTTTTCTTTCTTGGGATGTCCTCCACTCACTACTGCCTATCCAATTCCAAGTCATTTTGTGTGTGTGTGTGTTTCCTGTAAGAGCATACTCATTCTTCCCAACACATCTTTGACACACTTTTAACGTTTTTTTTTTTGTTTTTTTTAAATCAATTTATTGGGGCTCATACAATTCATCACAATACATAGATCAATTGTGTAGCGCACATCT